AATAGAAAAGAAAAAAGAAAGATGGTCTGAAAACCAAAGAAATATTTGGTCCTAAACTGACGTGATTGATTGAGTTTGTAGATTGGTGTCCCCAAAATTGAAATAGATTGCCAGGATGACGAGATTTTTTTGTATTGAAAGTTGTAATTTTTAACTTTTTAAACTTTCGTTAACATTTTTATGTAAGGCTTATGGTAAAAATAGTTAAGCTGCCAAATAAGTAGATTTTATAAAGCTGGGCTAGAGGAATGTTTTTAATTGGAAATTAGTTAAGTATTTCTCATCTTTTTAAATATTGTCATCATGACTATAAATATTTAGATGAGGGCAAAAAAGTAATTACACTATAAATACGGGGGGGTTGGCGTGGGTTGGGGGCGCGGTTTGGTCGGGATGGGGGGGTAGGGGGGGGGGGGGGAGGGGGTGGGGGGTGGGGTGTTTGTTGTGGGGGGGGGCCGGGTGTGGGGGGTGGGTTGGGGTGGGTTTTTTTGGGGTTTGATGGGGGGGGGTTAACTGGTCGTTGGGGGAGGTAGTGGCGGGGAGTGGTGATCGGGCGAGGGTTGGTTTTTTACATATCTTATTTAAACAAATAATTGCAATGCTTTGCAATATTGATCCAACTAGGAAAAACCAAAAATGTTACTTCATAATTAAATATGTTGTAAACAAATGGCCCCTTGTTGCTTAAGAATGAGATCCTTATTCGCAACAAACCTACAACTCCAAACATGGCAAGCAATTGAGAATGGAGGGAGATATGTTACCAGATTCTTCATCGTTCTACCATTGCGTGGTTGGCTTGGTGATTGAGGACACTCTCACTAGGTGTGATGTTAAGTTTGAGTTTTACGCCGTGTTTTGGTTAGAGATTTGGAAAGGGATTGTAGAAAGGGAAAGGAAAAGGTGTGTGAAACTATGCGAAATGTAGGCATATTTTTTCACATTTCACCTTACCTTTCTATTTCTCTTTTCTAAATTCCTACCTCAAATCTCTCAACCAACACACAGCATTTACTGTTGCAGATGCAGCTTTCTTTTCCTTATTCACCTCTAAGTGCTACAGATTGAATCAAGCTGGCTCAAATACTCTAATAAAAAATTTAAAAAAATGAATCAAGGCCACTCCAAAACTTGAAAAAGTTTATGCACTATAAAAAATATTCCTGGAGTGTTGACTCAATTTAAAACTTAAAACTTATTTGAGATTGATTCGTTATTAATAAACCAAAATTAAATTTAACACATTTCAAACCCATTTAAGTTTTAACCTCTAGCTTTGAACAATCTACCACCTTTTTCACTCGACTTCACTACGTTGTAACCCTATTCACCTCTTACAATGTTAAAAAAATATTAAATTTGTTTTAATTTTATTTTCCTTTAGAGAAAATAATATCACAAAGGAATTTGGCGTTGTAAGATCAATATTGTCCCGTACATTTGCAAAAATAGTTTTTGCCTAAATGTACTCATTTCATTGATCATAGAAAAAATGTTTTTCATCATATCAAATACTAAAAAACAAAAATGATGACCAATTTTTTCCCCAAAAACAAACAGAGCATAAATTCATTCCCCGCCCGTTAGCTTAGCGGAAAACAGGGAAACATCAGAATTTCTTGCTCGGAGTTCTTAGGCTACCACAGTATGGCAATGAATAGACTGAAAATCATTCTTTTAAGTTACATTTGAATTCTGAAAGCAAAAAATGAAATCATTCCAAAAAAACTTTGTTCATGACACATACTGAATACTTGAATGTGCAAATCGGAACCAATGACAAAATTCATTTAACATCCGACAGAATGTTAATTGAAAAAGCATGTAATCTATCACTGATATTTCCATGTCACGTGAACACGGCATGTCAACGCCATTCTTATGGTCCTAAATTATTAACCTGCAGTCAATCGCATTCAAACCCTAACGTGTGAACTGTGTCCCTAGAAAAGAAACAATCCACAATTCCAGATTGTAAGAAGGTCAACCACTTCCAAGTAACCCCCAAAAAAGGAATGAACCATCTTCAAACAATATACGAATTCAAGAGATATTTTTGTATCAAACTGTAAGAAAGAAGTTAAGAATTTCCTTTCCAACCTCTGGGCAATCAAAACTTGGACTCAGCAAAATATACTGAACCTCGAGAAAAATATGATTTTGGAGAAAATAGACGATGCAACTGATTGTATATCCTTCTTCAGGCTGGTACATAGGACTCGAGCATTATTTTTGCCGGGGAAGGTGATTTGATCTCTACAATCAAATATGTGAATTTCCATTGCTTGTCCACCTTGTCTCTGAACATCTCTGTGTAGACATTTCCGGCTCCGCGGGGCCCCCGAATATGGAAATTAACCTGTTTATTCAATTGATCATATTCATATCGACATAGATGGAAGACTTACACCATATCTTGCTGTAAAAAATCAATAATAATGTTTTCAACATTTTCTATAAAATTTATCGAGTAGGTATCTGAGAAATCTGATCCAACATAATGAAAAATTGATGGACTGACAGTAAAATTGTTGAGCAATTTGGAATTTCAGGATTCACTCGGTTTATCTCTGCCAAATTCACGGTTGGCTTGGAAGTGGAAACAAGGGGGTGGGGTTGGCATATATATGGGCCTGTTTGATGCATCTTATTACAAGCCAAAAGCTGATAATCAAAAAGTAGAAGCAAAAAACACTTCTCTCCCAACTTCCAGATAATTAGTTTTCTCTCACCTTTTTAAAACTATTTTTGCCTCATAAGCTACAAAGTTGTACCAAATACAAACTCTCAAATTTAAAAAATAAGTTATAACAGCACATTTAAGTTGCACTAAACAGCCCCATTGTCAATATACACAATTCAAAAATTTTGAAAAAGAAAAAAAACAGTAGGTGGGGTTTTTTTTTTTTTTTTGGTGGCATTGTCTAATATTTAACTTGTATATAACAAAATTGTGTTGCCTAAATTTAGAATCTTATAATCAGGGAAGGGTCATTTTCTAATAATGATGAATTTTGTGATGCCCATGAGTTACCTCAACATGTTCAACACCATCTTCGTCAGTCCATATCCTATTTGGAATCCGTTGGCGAGCAGCACGATTCCTGCTTTCCTGGCCATAGCCGGTAATAGGGGATCCAATTCTCACACTAACCTGATCCAGAGAAAATTTAAACCATTTGAAGCATGAAAATGTAATGAAAACATTCAAAGAAATATAATTCACTGTAAATATCATTTTTAAACCCAAACAGCCCGCATTAAGGTCTATAAATGCCATAGCAGTACAAAGACTTGAGTGTACGGACCAAAACTAATAATTCGTCATACCATAGGTTCCCCTTAGTTGCCCATCAAACCCTAAAAATGCTCCGTTGTACACACAACACAACTTATAACTCCATGCTAGCCACAAGGTGAGGATTGTAGGTAATGCCACAAGAATAAAAGGTTAGCTCGCAACCAAGATGTAAGGTATGGACAAATCCTTTCTAAGAGGTAATCTCAGTTGTAGTGTGAAGTTGGAGGTGAGTAGGATAATGGAGGGAGCCTTCTGAGAAGCATTGTTGTTGCTGAGGTGGCACTAAAATCACCAAAGGTGAACAGAGTGAGAGTAGACTCAATAGAGTCATTCATCCCTAGAGAGAGAGAGAGAGAGAGAGAGAGAGAGAGAGAGAACAACAATTGAGGTCTGGAATGATTGAATCCGAGTCTCCACTTAGCGCTGGTTGCATGGAGACGAAAGAGGAGAGCTGCTATATAGAGTCCAAGTTTGTCCTAATTTAAACCCAAAATCTATGTATATTAATGTACTGAATGACATTGATATTAATACCCTAAATTTAAATATGGGTTCTCATAAAATTACAATTCAAATTTGGAAAGAATAGAGAAATAGAAATGATAGATGAGAGTAAATATTGTTCTTGCCCACTTTGAATCAAAATTTATGGGGACAAATTGACATTTCTCAGTAAAAAAAAAAACTTTTTTGAAAAAAAAGGGTCAAAACAGTAATTTCAGAAAACCCAGTGGGCCATTGACCCCACTGTAAATCCCCCATTGGTTAGAACTTAGAAGTCTATCCACAAATGGTTAGTGGTTACATCATTCCAAACTGAACTTAAGAAACGGTAGTATGAGATGAAGAAATTCTGGTTTAAATCTAACCTGATTGTCATTTTGAATCCTTTCTAGAGCCTTGCCAAAAATCTTGTACCTGCAAAAAATGACAGTTTATAAGAATTTAAAGAAATTAAAAAAGGAAGTCCTGAATCCCCAGGTTCAAACCATAAAACATAATTAAGCACTAAAGTCCTCAGTCTACTGTTAGCAGCTAAAAGTAAGGACTTTACTGCTTAATCTACTGTTAGCTAAAGGATTCTTGCTTGTATCTGTGCCGGTGAAATGGGAAACAAGCTTCATAAAGTTTATGGAACCTCTCGGAAAAGCAAAAACTGGCATAAGTGAGCTAGTTCGGTTTAGGGTTTAGGACTAGAAAAATTACTAAGTGAGCTAGTTAGGTTTAGGGTTTGGGACTTGAAAAAGACCAAGTCTTACTCTTTTGGTTGGAAAATAAGTTCTTTGAAAACAGCATATCCAGCCGCAGCAGCAACTCCAAGCCCCACTAGAATGATAAGACTGTATGAAGCTCCCTCTGTAAATGTCACTGGTTTCTCTGGGATATTGTATGTAGGAGCATCAAAGGGATCCTCAACTTTTGATATCTCTTTTCGAGTCTGTTAAAAGGAAAAAGAGGAGAAATTAAGGCACTTGATTGAAGCATAAACCTTGCACTTACCATGACAAATTCAAGAAAAATGTAGATAATACATGTAGAAGAAATATGCAAATTTTACTTCCGATTCCAATTGATAAAAGCCACAAGTCGTTCTCCAGTTAGTTATATGATTTTAGATTTAATTATGGTAGATTGAAAAAATGATTGCCATAGCAAAAGTAATTGTCTACATGATTAAAGCAAAGGTCTTTTTAGTCAATTCTCATCTAATCTCAAAATTATTTAGTATGCAATGACCATGGAACCGTAAGGCCAGAAAAATGTTGCTTTGTACATTTGTCTACTTTTTAAGATTTATATGATCTTAAATGGAAAATCTATAGAAGCTCTGACAAGTATCTTCTAGCAAGCAAGCAATGTATGGTACTTGGCAATACAAGTAAAATTGTTTGATTGTTCTAGAGATCAGCAAGACATGGTGATCTGAACATAAGAAGCATGAACACTTCTAAGAAGGTATCAAGTGTTGAACAACAACACAACATGACATGACACTAAACTAACACTTCTCAACACCTATTAGACACATGTCCATACATATCCTACTATTTTTTTAAAAAAATTATGGGCTTAGACACACTTCAAACACTTGGGGAACACAAGCGTCTATAGCTTAGACACACATGAAACACAATACAAGTTGGAATAAAGTAACTTGAAATCTAAAACCAATGGGTTGTAGCTTAACTGGCTAACCCTTTGAACCCTTTGGCCACCAAGTCTCTCTTAGGGAGAAGTCTTCAGAAAAACAAGACTTTAATGTTTTGGTTGGGAGTTCAACTTCCCTCAGGTGCTAATCTAACAACTGACCATTGACCTTTGACAATCAAAAACAAAAACTTGGAATCTAATGACAAAAGAAAAACAATATAAATTTACACCAATTTTTCTTCTATAAACTTCAAAAATTAGTGTTACATTGCATTTTGTTATTATTTTTGAATTAAACATTCATATACATGACATAATAATTGCTTATACTTATATATGACATAATAAATATATAAAATTATATATTTTGTGTGTCCCCCTCATGTTTCGTGTCTTATATTTTCTTAAAATTTCCATGTTAGAGTGTTTGTGCCTGTGCTTCTTAGGTCCACACAATCAAGTGAAGTGGATCACTCAAACAATCCATGACTGCTTCATTATATACTCCGTTTACTTCTCTAAAGAACTGGACTAAAACTGATGGATAACTGAATTAATGTCATAGAAGGACTCTGTTCTTTGCATGGATGAAACTGAAGCAGAATCGACCCATTCACACCTTCATTACAATCACTATTAGTAAGCACATGAAGTTGTTATTTGGTCACATAAATAAATTGTGAGAGAGAGAGAGAGAGAGAGAGAGAAACAACATTTGTTCACAATCTTGTTAAGTTGAGACCGTGATACCCAAATTTATAGGCTAGCAATGATTTGTGAATAGTGATTAAAACATTAGACACAAGACAACTGTTGTTAACATTCAAATGAAAAATTATATAAATTATCTAGTCATTTTGGCTCAAGTTCACCGCCAAGCGGCACAGGAAATACAGAGATTGTGTGTTGTGGTCAGCTTTCCCACCAACAAAATGTATTTAAGAATCAAGTTTTCATAAACTCCAATTCAAACTCAAACCTTTGATGATTTCCGTCCCTCTTGTTCTGAAGTTGTTGATGCAAAGGTCCGAGCACAGTAAGGACCTTTGATGTTGACTCCATGGCTTCCAGTGAATAAGAATGGTGACTGAAGCCTCATTACACTTTCTCTAGTCCGTTGTCCTATAATTAGAGAAGAAGTTCCTGCCAAAAACACAAATCACTCAAAAAGGAAAGTAAAAAAATACCTACAAAGTGAAGAAGTGTATTCCTTCCGCCTTTCACTGGAGGCTTAGCATATGCATATGTACTAATTAATGAGTGCCACTATCACTTTTCGGGAACAAAACAAAACTAGCTTTCTTACACCTAAATCCTTTCCTTTCCCATGTGTTGATTTGTGAGTTCCACAGATACTCATACCAAATTTGTAGCAGCGACGCTATCAGAAGCTGCTACAAAACACTTTTTCCTAATAGAACCTAGACTATCGTACCAGCCTTTATTGTATACACAGAACCTATAGCAAGCGCTCACCAATTGCTAAGTGATCATTAACTCAACTGAAAAAGCCTAAAATTCAAAGTGTTTAGCATGTATCAAAGGTCATATCATCCATCAAGTTAAAGGCCTCCGCTAGTGAAATATCAAATTCAAGATAAGTGAACCAAGCAATGAATTTTCATGACCCCTCACTTTATTCCTGTACTTAATTTATGTATCAAATATTCTTTGTACTTTGTATCCTAGAATCTTTAGAATCCATAGAAACTTGAACTTCAAACAATATATTAACTATTAGTCAAGGTTCATCAATTGTGCTCTCACAGCAAGCAACTTACTTTGAAGGAGCTCTATTTGAAGCTATGTTACCTGGAATGGGAATGGGAACGGGAACATGGTACGCCACATGCTCTAAAATGTGGTACGATGGGGTAGATTTGTAAATATTACACTTAAGAATTTAAAATACTTCTAGTGCAATTTTCTTTTAACTATTAGGCATTCAATAAAAAGTATTTTTTTTTTTTTCCATGTAGCAAAACATTTCTACGAGCATTATAACTCATTTTTTATGTCTTGTCTTATCAAAACTTAACTCATCTTAGAATTTAGTTCATTATATTTGATTTTTTTTCCTCCTAAGAAAACATTTAAAGAAATACATTAGACAAAACTTTTGGCATCGCTATGAATCACTAAATTTGTAGTTTTGGAACGAAAGTATACCATGTTTCATAACGTGTGTACCAATATGTAATTCGCTAGGGTATTAGCGCTTTATGATGACATTGATTTGAAGTTGAAGAGGTTTTTCTTGCATTAATATGAAATAACATGTAAATCAGCAACCATGTGTGTCATATGGAGCAGAATCTGCAGAACTAACCTCACAAAAAACCAATCATCCAAAGTGACAACATAGAAGCAATCTAACTTAACAATTGTTTCATTTATAAAAAATAAAAAATAAAAGGAAAGAAAGAAAGGAAAAAAGAATAGGGCTTCTCTAGACTTTTTCATCAACAAGCTTCCAAAGAAAAATGGAAAAACTTATGGCTACGCTAATACCAACTGGTAGCATTTACAGCCTCAACTTTACATCCGATGCAGTAAGTCCACATTGAATAGCTACATATGCCTTAGTAAGTGGGATAGACAACTTGATGAATTGGTGATATAACACTAAATTAATGAAGATGACAAATAAATTTCCTTTTCCTATAGCACATATTTATCACCAAGAATCACATTTTTATAGTTAATCCCAAAACATATCTAGAAATCACTACCTGGTGGACAATACAAACCATTTGATACAGCATATGTTTCTTTGAACACGAGTAGATCAAAAGAGAACCTATTTCAATTGCTTATCATGGGTGATCTATGTTAGGGATGTGAGAACATTTTTTTCCAAGATGAAATCCACAATTTATGCAATAGCAAAACATAACATCCCCTTAAGTTAATTCCCCGAGTTAGTCACCGAAATATAGAGCTAATTATTCTCATGAATATTTCATAAGAATGTAATATGTCACAAGTGACTACAAGATGCAAGCTAATACTTCATGAAATATAAGATGCAAGTATGCATTGGTTAGACAGTAAAATTATTTACCCCCAATTGCTACTTATGAACATTGGTTGCTGGAGGAGTTTACATTGTAGTATTGTGACACATATAGGCTATTATTATTCTCAATTAAGTCATTGAGCCCTAAAGTGCAATTGCAATTATTAAGTGAAGTTAATTGGAATTAATTGGTTGTCTTTATCCTTATTAAGAGACGGGTGAAAGAATCCAACTGGAGCTAGAATTTGGGGAAGCCTAAGAGGCCCCAATCCAAACCATAGAAGGATTTGGATACATTAAGAGGTTCGAGAAAGTCTCTAAACTAAAAAGATCCCACAATCCTCTGGCCGTACAACATCCTAGAGGACATTGGATTGAAGGCTTCAAGGCATTCAAAATGAAAGATTCTTTAATAATTCATCAAGAATTAATGATGCTTCATCAAGATTCAAGTGTGCTCTTGAAGAAAAGCACTTAGCTCAAGAAGCATTCAAATTTTAAGCTCTACAAGGGGATAATCTTCTTGTATCATCTTTACATACATCAAAGGTAAGTTTTTAATTAATTTATGGGCTGGAACAATTTAAAGTTCTAAAATTTTTTAAAACATATGTTTCCACTTGGAATTAGATTTAAATAGATAGTTGTAAGCCTTATAGACTACAATACGAAATAGTAATCAATAATATGAACCTAGATTACATATTTACTAACCCGCAGCTCCAAGCATCTCCTGCAGAATAAAAATAAAAACATTATTAGTGATCAGAGACATATTAGCTTTAGAACATGGGAGTGAACAATAATGCATCTGTCACCTTAGTCATACAGTCATTAACACTGGATGATCTTGCACAACCTGACTTCAGCACCACTTGCAACTACATCATTATCAGGAAAGAAAAAAAAAATCGTAAGTTTCATACATAAACATCATATTAAAATCATTCTTAGGGGGAAAAAACTGCAAATTTAGGCCTCGTTTGGGAACCATCCTTTTTAGCCAAAAAGTCAAAAAGTTACTAAATTAGCCCAAAAACCAACAACTCATACCAAAAAGTCAAAAATTCTTTTTTCTCTCTACTTTTTGCACATCTTTTCGTAAAAAGCTAAAAAGTCATCACAATCATACTAGTTTTTTTTAGCTCATATTTTAGCCAAATAGCCAAAAAGTTACTAAATTAGCCTCTTCCCAAACGAGGTCTTAGTTGGAAGTGCGCCCATTTACAAATAAATAAATCAATTGAAAAACTCTTTTAAGCCATGTGAGAGAACCAGTACAAAAGAAAACAAGAAAGCTGTATCTTCTAGCTATATCCTGACCATCGTTCCGGCAACTATAAGGCATGGTTTATCAATATTACATTTTCAGGGCGATTGCATAACATAGTGGGAGTATTGAGTGCAACAGAATTTTTGTTGTGGTTCTAGAAATGGGGAGTACTACTGCATGCATACAACTAAAATAGGCAATTAATGGCTGCAAATTAATGTTGCCTTTGGATCTTGGATTTTTGGAAGGAAAGGGAATTATGAATGATCCTTTCCATTTTCTTTTTCCATCACAAATCCAAAATCCAAAAACAGCCTAAGTCAATTTCTAAGTTAGTTGTTCTAAATAAAGCCTGGTCAGTAGTGGATAAATGACTAGTTACACTAACAAATAGCTACCATACCATTGTTATAATACCTGATTGCACATGCTAGCTGGCACATATAGTTCAGCCAGAGAAATCACTTTGAGCAACAATTTCAACAAGTGCAAATTATTATTATTATCCAAGAAATTATGTACTTGTAGGTAAAAATATTTCCAGGAAAACAAACAGGATAAAAATAAAAAAAGGTTGCCAAAGGGATAGACTACAAGAACATCATACAAAAATAGGAAATGCACTATAATTTGTTTCTTCCTAATTAAGTTAGAAAATCTATCAACAACAACAAGAATTGTCACCCAATGGCACCCAAAAAAAAAAAAACATTTAAATAAATAAATAAAAGAAGAATAGAGAGAGAAAGAATACATACAAGGAGAGAGAGAGAGAGAGAGAGAGGTGATTATATTGACATACCCTTTTTGCAAAATCATTAAACACAGTCCTCTCTGCAGCCAAAGATGAAAAATCAACAAGACCCACATCAGATATTTGCTTTGTAGGCTTACACTCCATGAGAGAACACAACCCATTGTATGATTTCACAGCACTTGTCCATCTATTCTTGACTAAAAACCCAGTGCGGCTAATACGGTGCATATTTGAAAACAGTCTCAGGGATTAAAAACCTTGAAATGACTGAGCTAACTCTGTGCTTTTGGTTAAGAGTATTTTTGAGAAACCTAAGTTGGTAAAATAGCAAGAAAATTCACAACCCAGTTATTATTTGCACTGAAAAACCAAACCCATAATTCCAAATGCGAAGAAGAAGAGAGAGAGAGAGAGAGAGAGAGATTTGACGACGACCCAAAAACCCCCCCACCCCAACCCAAATACCCCCAACCAAACTGGGGTTTCTGTCTTTCGGCACGTGCCACCAGAATGCGCACGTGACATGGCTGCAGTGCAGATGATATAGACAAACATGGATTTGCACTGAATCCGACCCGGAACCCACGGCCCATCAGCCCGGCCCAACCTTTTGACAAAAACACACAAGTTTTATAAGGCTTTTTTTGAGGTGGCTTTTAAATTTTTTGGGTATTTTAATTTGACTAAAAAAAAAATTATTTGAGATGGACTTTTGATTTTTTTTAAATTTTTTTAGAGAAAAAGTGAAATGCTTATAATTTGAATGTAATATTTTGTCTTATTAATTTTTTAGGTTATTTTACTTTTAGTGAGCTAAATTAGTCTCAAATATCTTGTCAAATGGGGTCGATTATTGATCATTCATTTAACAAGGTTAAAATAAGCATAACTAAAGCCTTGTTTGAGAATTAATTTTTTTAGTTATTTTTTAAGTTTTTTTTATGAGGCGAAAAAAATTAATGAATTTATGGATGGATTTTTTTTTTTATAAATTTTATCAAAAATTATAAAATACTGAGATGTTTCATTTGTTTTTTTAAAGTAGATTTTTGCCTTTTTGATTTTTGACTTTTTGGTTAAAAAGTTAAATTGCCAAATGGGACCTAATATAAGTAGTGTGTAAATATGTGAATAGCTAAAATATATATATATATATATATATATTTCACTGTTAAAATATATGATAATTAGCGTATGCCCGTGCTTGAAACACGATATAAATAATATTAGAATTAGAATATAATTGTAATCCCAACACTATTTAAATTTATTTTTTAATTTGATAAAATCACAAATTTATTATAAAATTTTGGAGTTCTTACAAAACTCCTCACAAAAACTCGCTTTTACTTATATAATATATAACTAGATAGATAGATGTGTCTAGCATACATATAATTTTCACAGACATACATACAATATTGCTTTTGCTTATATAATTATATGGAAATTGTATGTATGCCCATAATGTCCTAGTGTATTACAGGCATACATACATTGTATGGAAATATGTGTAAAATATATTGAACAAAAAGGAGAAAATAAAAAAAAAACAAATAGAGAGAAAAATAAAAACGGGAGAAAATAAAAAAAATATTAAAAAAAATGGAGGAATATGGGATTATGAGATCATGGAAGGATGGGTAAGAAAAGGAAAAAGTAAGAGAGATAAGCGGGAAAATAGAAAATGTATATGTAGGACATTTTTTGGAAAATATATCTCAACTATTATTTTATAATTTGAACATATCTGAATTATCCAAATGTCCTAGTGGGGCAAAAATATTTTAAAGATTCAAAAATCATCCTGCTTTATTATATAGATGTTGAAGATTCATATGAGGTATAAATTTATGAAATTTATCAGGTATTCAATTATTTAAAAATAATAATTAATTATTCAAATTTATTTAATTTGTGGACTATAAAATTCATTAATTAGGCTCCACTACACACAGTAAAATTTGGCTTCTAATTTAGGATCGCGGACTTTTCCATATAATATGAATAAAAACAAGTGAACAAAAATGAGGAAATAAAAAAAAAACAAATAGAGAGAAAGATAAAAATGGGAGAAAATAAAAAAGTAAAAAGAAAAGGGAAAGGAAGGTGGAATCATAGGATTATGGAAGGATGTGTGAGAAAAGAAAAAAGTAAGAGAGAGAGGCGGGAAAGTAGAAAATGTATATGTAGGACATTTTTTGAAAAATGTATCTCAGCCATTATTTTATAATTTGAACAGGTCTGAGCCATCCAAATGTGTTAGTAGGACAAAAATATGGTGAAGATTCAAAAACCATTCTGCTTTATTATATAGATGTTGAAGATTTATGTGAGGTCAAAATTTATGAAATCTATCAAGTATTCAATATATTTAAAAATAATAATTAATTATTCAAATTCATTTAATTTGTGGACTATAAAATTCATTAATTTAATCTCCACTACACACAGTAAAATCTGGCTCCTAATTTAGGATCGCAGACTTTTTCCATATAATATGAATAAAAATAAGTGAACAAAAAGGTGCAAATAAAAAAAAAAAACAAACAGAGAGAAAAATAAAAATGGGAGAAAATAAAAAAATAAAAAGAAAAGAGGAGGAAAGGTGGAATTATGGAATCATGAAATGATGGGTGAGAAAATGAAAAATAAGAAAGAGAAGCAGGAAAGTCAAAAATGTACATGTAGGACATTTTTTTAAAAATATATCTCAGCCATTGTTTTATAATTTGAACAGATTTGAGATATCCAAATATTCTAGTAGGATAAAAATATATTAAAAATTCAAAAATCGTCCTACTTCATTAGATAGATATTTTTTTTTAATCTATACAATTAGCCAATGACATAGTGAGTTATAGTTATGTGAATTTTTAAAGTCTAAAGAAGTATAATATAATTATATCAAATTTATGTATTTTTCAAATATTAAGGGAGTTTAATATAATATACCCTAATTTATTTGTTTTATTATAATTGTCAATTAACAGGATATGCAAATTATATATATGTATATATATATATACTAGTGGACCTTGTGCAAATTATATGTACACTAGTTTAAAAAAGGCTGTGTTATTGCAGTATATTTAAGTTTTATATTTTGATAATTTTTTTAAATTAAAATATTATTCTATTAAGTTGAATAAAATAAATTATTAGATATATAATAGAATTATGTGGTATGATGTGTATCATTTTTTATTTGTTATACAATCAATGATGTAGGCTATAATTTTATTGCCATATCATTTTAGGTGAATTTATGAGTCTTTAACATTTCTTCTAAATTTATTAAAAAAAGAAATTATGGTGTGTATTTTTTTCAACAAATAAATATAAAACAAATATTAAGATAATTCTCTCATCTAAAAAAACTACTAAAATAATTCACTAAACTAATAAAGAAGCAAAAGAAAATACATATATATGCAAATAATTAATTTTATTAATACATAAATCATACTCGCATAACGAATGACCAATTTTATTAATAAGTAAATCATTAAATAAATTAACAATTTGTAATTATATGAAAAATATTTTTGTAACAATTTAAAAATTTAAGTTGTCCCTTAAATTTTATATTAGTATTATTTAATTATAAATGAGAAAAACTTTGAATGCTTAATTAAATATTTTGTAAAAATAAAATAAAATAAAGTGTAATTTATTTACAGCAGGGTCATTATATAGAAATAATAATAATAAATAATAATAATAAAAAACTAGTAATTATCCATTGAAGTAATGACCTTCAAGTCTAGAATATAATGATGCACCTAATGTAGAGAGGTCACCTGGTGTGCCAATGTGGCACCCAAACTTGCTAAACAAGTAGTGCACCTAGTATAAAAGGGGGTGTGGATTGTGAACAAGAACAATGAGAAAGCAAACAGAGAAGGGAAATAGAATATTAGAAGTAAAGAAGGTCTTTGATAATAGAAAGAAAGAATAAGGTATTAAAATTAAGGTGAGTTATATTATATCTTGAGTTATTATAATATATTTTATGTATGTTTTGACTTATCATAATTTATTTTATACAAGTTATGTTTTATAAGTTATATTAGTGTTTCAATTACGTTGATTAATTTTTGAACTCTATTTGTTTAAAATAAAACTCATGGATATGTTTGGTTAAATTTTAGAGAATATTTGACTATGACTTTATAAATAAATATGTTTTGTAAGTATCATCACGGGAATCTCACGCCTTAGGGGACTTAAATAATTATTGGCCTCTGTTTGGTCACTTTGTGAGCCTCTATTGTCATAGATCCATTGACTCTTTGATTTATAGTGTGGAGCAAAGTGATGTACGGAGCTAAGTGCTACAATATTGTGGGAGCCACCTCTAAAGTTCATACGAGCCACCTCTTAAGTCCATGCATCTGTTCTGTACTATGGTTATGGTTATTTATTTATATAATCGCAATTTTTCCACTTAAATGGTTATTTGTTCAGACTAAGTTATTTAAAATATTTTAGTTACATAATTATCCATGGTTATTTTGTGTCTCTTATACTCTTGGCATAATATTTCTCACTCTGTCAAGTGCTTATAACTGTTTACAATTTTTCAGGAAACAATGCAATTCAGAAATAGCTTTTAGAAAGTCTTAGACGCGGGGCTGCGGAATAGACACACACAACACTTTTATGATATTTTTATATGTAAATATCGGCATTTTTTGTCAATAAATTTTGTAATAAAAATAGAAGTGTTAGACTTATTTATTTTGATGATTTATTTAATTATGTTTTAATTTATTTGAAAGAGAAAAATAGAATTCAAAATTTATTTTGATGATTTATTTAATTATATTTTAATCAAAATTCAATTTTATGATTTATTTGAAAGAGAAAAATAGAATTAAAATTTATTTTGATGATTTATTTGAAAGAGAAAAATAGAATCAAAATTTATTTTGTCCCATTATTTCTCACCTAAACCTTTATCCTAAATGTTGTTAAAATGTATTTAATATTTGATTAAATCAGGAGTTCAAAACAGCCCAAAACAAAGGTTCAAACAGCCTAACACAGTAGTAGGCCAAAAGGTTCAAAAGGTTCAAGTGGAAGATATTCAAATTAGTAATGATGGAAGTACAACAACTATAAACAGTTATAAAGGTTCAAAAAGCCAAAAGGTTCAAAAGATTCAAGTGGAAGATATTCAAATTTGTAATGATGTAGTGGAAGATATTCAAATTGGTAATGATAGAAGTACAACGGCTATAAATTCAAATGATTACAATAACTATAAACGGCTATAAATTCAAATGAATACAATGGCTATAAACGACTATAATTTTTATTATATATACCAAAGCCTCTAATGTAAATAAGTTACAACAAACCTGAAAATATTCTTTGATCTATAATCACTTACATCTTTTCTCAGAAATTATACATCGAGCCTTATAGCTTTAAGCTT